TAACTTTAAGTTTAAATTGCATTGACAAATATACAAAAAAAATTTCCTGATGAAAAAACTGTTTTGCACTCGTTATGTAATAAAAACAAACAAACACACTAAGAAACAAAAACAAACAAACAAACAAACCCAAAAAACAGAAAAAAAGAAGAAAAACTCACAAAGACAAACAAAAAGCAAAAACATGTAACTCAACTTGATGAGCTTATCAAGGAAGTTTACAAAAAAAAATAACAAAATGAATAATTGACATCGTCTACACATGAATAAATAACTCTCAAGTTGAGCGTATCTAATGGGTAACACAAATTTTCAAATTTCATTTTTATTCTATCAATTTGAACAGAATGCAGACATATCATCGGGTAATCTTATCAATTATCTTTATGCTTGTACAACCGTCAATGCACCAGACATACCATCAGCCTACCTTATCAAGGACTATAAATTGAGTTACTATCAAATAAACCAGGTCGTAAAAGCACAACATTCAATTTCTAAATGTTTCAACATAGTCTCCATGTACTTTAACTTATTCAAATATTCTCTTTTTTTCTGTCTTTACCTTGCTTGATTGATAAGTAGCTTGTCTTTCATCTTGTTATTGTTTTCATGTTTTTCCTGTCTTTGGTGCGCATGAATGCTAGTCAGTTCTATTTATGATCTGGATCAGGCGCTAATTGGTATACCTTGGTCTCGGGGATCCGTATGAGCTAAGGAATATTCTGAAGACACATATCTATAACTTACCTCTGATTCTGCGCAAGACATCCTTACAAATGTGTCATTTAAGTTTAAATTTCATTGACAAATATGAAAAAAAATAGATAAATTCCTGATTAAAAAACTGTTTTGCACTCGTTATGTAATAGAAAAAAAACCCAAACAAACAAACTAAAAACAAACAAACAAATACTACAAAAACCAAAGTCACGTGGCTCAACTGAATGATCGTATCGACTTATTTGTAGTGAAAGGCGGTGTTTGCTTGCCTTTATACAAACCTTTAAGGCGATTTACAAAAAAAGAATGAAAAAATGATAACGTCAACGTTAATTAATAACTCACCGTTTGAACGTATCTGATGGATAACACAACCACTCCAATTTTTTTCATCTTATTAATTTGAACAGGATGCAGACATATCATTGGGTAACCTTATCAATTATCTTTCTGCTGGGATAACCGTATCATCCACTTGGCTTGTCAAAGATTATCGGTGTAGAATCATACCTACCTGTACCTATTGACTGTGACGAGCGCGCCATTGTTACAAGCCCCAGACATTTTAAATATTAAAGTTAGTGATCAATTTCTCCCTTGTCGTGCTTACCTGGAGACTGTTATTATAAATTCAATAACATATGGCCTAATACATAGTAAATGGTAATTTATGGAGCATACCATGATGTTATCTCTAAGCAGAAAAGGGTGTATCACTACTTATAAATTCATTATATTTTTCGTGTTAAAGGCTTCATAATGAAAAAATTTTGACGGAGTGAAAATATATTTTTTTAATTCTTTCGCTCATTTCCGACTAATCAGACCATAGTTCTTTTTCAGTGAAAAGTATAGAAATCTCCCAGAGTGCATTGTAGTTCTCGTAAGGAATGACAACTCTGTTAAGGATTGTGAACATATAACTCTCTAAAATTCAAGTAAAATTGACTGGATTCTGTTTATCCTGTCAAATTTCAACTTGATAAATACAGTTATCTGTTTTTTTTATTGATTTGATTTTGAATTATTTGAATTTGTGTCTTAGATTACTACTATACATGATTCGACATAGTAACGATACCAGCATGCTAATACACAGAGCGGCAAATTCAAAACAGAATCAATGTAGTTTGAGACAAAAATGAACAAATAAAACATTCTTTGTTTATTGAATTACCCTTACATTTCATCTTGATTGATGGAAATTTGATTATTTTCCCCCGTGTTATATTTTCACCCCATTCCATGAAATATGTATTTCATTAATTAAGAAGTAACAAATTTCCTCTCTATATATTCATTAAGTACTGTAATTTTCAGGAATATCATGTTTTATACGGTCGTGATGCTTTTCAAGTAAAGGTGCAAAGGGCATTAACTGTGAGGCATATTAGGTCGAATTGTAAATAGAAAATGGTCGAAATAAAGGTAAATATTCAGATGGAGGGGTATATTTCTTCTAAAATTCAATAATTTTCACCTTTGTCAATATTTGATAATTTATGCCGTCTACTTCCGATTTATGTCAATAAAAGCGTACGAGAATCCTCCAATGTTTTTTTTTTTTTTTTGCTTCCATATATGGATACATTCAGTTTGTCCAAAAGAGAAATCTTGGGGGGAAAATGAAATCACTTTGACGATGGCAGTACAGAGTATCGTCAACCACGATGTGACATTAAGGTAATAATGTGATGCTTGGCGAGATATTACAACTCCATGGTTATCACACTTTGTTTACGCAAATAACACACAGCTTCTTTTGAAAAGACATTAAAATCAATATAGACATAAAAAAATATCAATAGGATAATAAAATAAGATTGTTTCAACAATCAAAGTTTACCTATTATAGAAATATCTTTGGTATAATTGTAAATCTTCAAAAATATTTGAAATAAATGTACGCAAACTTTAAGTATATTTACGTCATCAGCCCAAAAGGCAAGGAGTTCATTGATAGAATAATCGCATTGTTTGTTAACAATATCTTCGTCGAGTTTGGCGATAAGATTTTCAGACTTATGGCATACCTATGGGAACAAATTGTCCTCTCGTTTAACTGACTTGTATCCAAGATCGTATCAAAACTGGTCATAGCCACCATGGAAAGTCCTTTAATTTCACTTTTCAGATATATCTATTCCATGTTGCTTTTGAATAACAAGAAATTTAATGACCATGTCCATCGTATATACGTGATTGAATAGAAAAAACAATGACATAGTACACTCTGCTATATCGGTCGCTTACCTTACTTTGTTTTTTTACCTCATATAGCATCAACAGGAACAGCTGTGTGATAAACATGATTTCAGTTTCATTTTCATAAATGGTATTTTTGGGGAACAACAATATTCCTGCACCCCTAAACTATTGTGTTTACCTGTCGCGGTTTGTTCTCGTATTTTCCGTATTTTGAGAGGTGCAGGTTAATGAAAAAAATTATGAAGATTTAGTGTCGTCGTAGTGATCTAAATGCTATATTCGTTTGCATAACCATTGTTTCCGTTGCTATTATCGGGGAAAGTGACATTACTGACTTGGATTGCCCGAGATTTACACGGAAAGTATCGTCTATAAAGCAGAAGCCGCTTGCTCTTCCGTAACACCCGGTCTTATTCTCCTTATACTTCCCTGGTGTCTGCGTGTAAATCTTTCTTTTATTCATATTTTGCCCTGGTTTTATTCAATTTGAGTTTAAATTACAATTTTATCGATTGTTTAAAACATATGTAATTTTATTTTTGTTTTATATGTGATACAAAACCTTTGAATTTTGAGGAAACCGATTTTCATCGTTAAAATTTTCGTCATGTCTGGGTATGTAAATACCTTAATAATTATAAGCGTTGTTTTATAATGGACATAATTTGTTCAAGGACTACTAACATGTCAAACAGAATAATAACCAAATTACTAAACAGGGAACATTCGTTATAAAGCAAAGTTCTATAATTAAAAATAAAACATTTGTTATGCTTATTGGTGAAAATAAGGATGTTTTCAGTAAATTAGCATAAAATTAGTACTACACGTTGACCTAGTGTGGATTTTCATTATTGACTCGTTGTTTAACTAACCATTCCCAAAGGGATAAGCTTGTAACATTAACTGGCGTAAGGGATTTAACTAATTCAAAGGAAAAATCCAGTGTGCGGTAATTATCCACACACGAAAACATAAATAAACGTTTTATAGTCAGAAGACGTCATAGAAATATCCATTTTTAATATATCAATTTAGAAACTTGGTTGGGAAAAGCAAGTATCAGCGAACTTATTTTTCAATAAACTTGATTTTTTTCATAACCTTTGCGAAACAATTTTTTCCAACTTATAATAATTATTCTTGTTGGCCCTGATGGAAGCATGATAGAGGTTGTATGAGGGTCTAACAATGGGAGGAAACCGGAGTTCCTGAGGAAAACAAACCAGGTCGGGCAGGTGACCCCGTACCTTTTTACGTCCGTTTTAGGAATCGAACCCCGGACGTCTGGCTGAAAGGCGAGAGCGTGTTGCGGCACCCGACCATTCTTATATTAATCCGTTTCCTATTACTTTCATGCTGGGAATCGCACAAACCAGCTGCCAAGACGAGTTGCAGACACTGACAAACAGTTCAGCATGGCAGATTTTCTGAAGGCAATATGTCTTCATTCCTTTCTATACAATGCAAAATTAATGAAAACGACAGAGAAGGTTTCAAGAAAAGAGTGGCATGGTTGGGGGTGTGGGATCTTGATGGGTTGTCATTTCATTCATAATTCAATCATATGTATCACAGATATAAAACGCAGCTTGACATTAAGTCGATAATGGGACGATATTGTTTAACAAGTATTTAACGAGCAGGAGCATGTAACAGTAACAAACATGAATACGATTTGTCACGAAAATAACAGATTGGGTCTTCAGCGCTCATTATGTTCGTCATCACCATCGTTACTGACATCATTCTGTGTTCTGGCTTTGTAAAACGTACATTACCGACAGTCATAGTTTGTTATGTATCTAACGTGTTCATGATATTGACCCTGAAGTCTTAGTTTCCCACAATTAAGTCTTTGGCATCACTGTCCTGAAAGGACAGAATTTTATTCGTCAATTATGTTCTGTATCGACGTGTTGAGATCCAGCAGTCGACCATGGAAAATCGAAATTGGAGGAAAATAAAAGTTTGAATTTGATATATGGAGACACACCCCATACCTCAATAAATCTAATGGTTTTTGATGCTGACACATAAATTACTGATGTTTTTGTTTTGTATTTCAGATGTACAACTCCCACAGCAACTACCATAAGACAGTCGTCTTGATTCTATCAGGTATGTCTTGTCTTCTTAGATTTATCATCGCGTTTCTTCAACATTGATGATAATAATAAAAAATATACAACATTTATATTGCGCCCTATATAAAAATTACTCTAAGGCACTTTACAGTGCATGTAAAATTTCAGTCATGGTATCAATAATACATTACACATCGACACTTATGTATGATACGCTGATCATTGTGTCCGCATGATCACCAGAAAAACACCACATGTATGAACATGTAGCAAAATTTACTAGTATAAAAAAGGAAACCTGAACAGACGGATCTTAACACCCTTTTTTAAAGTGGCGAGTGTTGTTGCTGTCCTGATTTGTGATGATAGGTTATTCCACAGTGTGGCGGCAACCTTCCCAAAACATCGGTCACCATAAGTCACAGTACGCGACTTATGCACACAAAGCAGGGACTCAGCCTCTGGCCGTAATGAACGTAAAGGTTGGTAAGGAGTGACGAGCTCTGTTAGATAACCAGAAGCTGTTCCATCGATTGCTTTGTAGGTGTGCATCAGAATCTTGTACTGTGAACTTTAATGCACAGGTAACCAATGTAAGGAATGTAGTACGGGTATAATGTGCTCACGTTTATTAGTACTGGAAACCAGACGCGCAGCAGTGTTCTGGACTTTCTGCAGGCGCCTAGTTGCGGAGTCAGAGATTCCATAGAAAAGGGCGTTCCCATAGCCCAGACGAGAAGTCACAAGTGAATGTAACAGTGTCTTATATGCATCCGTAGTGATGAACTGCCGAAAACGTCCAATATTCCGAAGTTGGCAGTTACAGCTTTTTGCAATAGCATTCACCCGCTTTTCCATGAACAATGAATTCCGTTTTATCCTGGTCATATGCTCATTCTTCCGGAACACTTGATACGATCTTTTCATCTTCTGAAGGTTGTCCGTGCAATGTTTGCTTTCCTCTTCTTTTGCTCGCCTTGTCACACACAGTCTTTTGGTTTCTAGTTTTTGTTTTCTCTCTCGGTAGTAAGAGCATAACAATACGATTCTACTAGGTCGCTTCCTGTTGATATCTGGAAATAGTTTCGAATTAAAACATGTTAGTTATGAATGAAATACTATTTGTTGAGTCTATAAATGCCATAAAGCACTGGTAACTCGGCAAATGCCATATAGAGGCTTAATAAGATAATGAAATACTTTAAGTAAATGTAGATAACGAAATGAAAATTGTGACATAACTGTGACTAATGCGAACACACGCTGTAAGTCTTTCTTCATTTTTATCTTTTAATCTTTCTGGCTTTTTTCGCTTTCCGCTTTAAGTTCTGTTGTGGGGTTTTGAATTTACATGGAAATACTTTTTGCATATTATTACTAACTTTTCATCAAGATGAGGTACTGAATACATTGTCAAACGACCATTAATTCGGGATAATGTATTTTTCTATATTTTTGTAATCGCTAACATCAAATTTCATATGTAGTTTTGCAGTTCGCTAAATGTCAGGTATGCAAGGATTTACAAATCGCTGACGGAGCAGTATGTGTAGGTGAGTATTCCATGTACACAACATCTAACTGCACAGGATGTGGTTACAAATTTGTCCTTTGGTTTTTTGAGCAACGAAAACCAAAATGGACTTTTAAGCAGATCGATATGTAAAATAGAGTTTGATTTTAGATTGAACAGTGACTCTTAGTACATATGTCAAACACATTTCATGTTTGTTCTTGTTCAATCTAAAAAAGAAAAAGAAATAAAAAAGAGAAAGGAGAAAGGAAGAAAATAAGGGGTGTAAGGGTTATTTTACAATGACAATGTTCTTTAATGCTCATGAAAAGTCATCTTGCAAAGGAAATGATACTGTTGAACGAACCCATAGTATGTTTGGAGGATTATAGCTACGTGTCACCTGTAATAGCATAGATAAATTTGTTGCAGATATGACATGGTGTCTATACAAAGTTTACAAGAACCCTATGAACTGGGCAGATGCCAGACAAATCTGCAGTGAAGAAGGACATGATTTGCTAAGAATATCAGACTCTGCAGAGCACTCCTATCTGACATCATACTTCATGTCCTCTTTAGGTTCTGCCTCGCCCTCACTACTCGAGTAAGTAACAAAATACATATTCAAATATATCCTTGTCAATCATCTGTTTCACTCCCAAAAATGCATGATCTTTCATACTTTTTTTATATCTAGTCATACATCGATGAGATATGACAAAATGAATTGTTCAAGTTACCTAACATAGCCCAATGAGTAACTTTTTTTCAATACCCAAAAATTTGCCAAATTATCCATTTCAAGCACCTTTCTTTGTTACCAAACTGTAGATTCTCGTGTTTGAATATACTAAACAAAAAAAAAGAAAGGTAACACTACTTTATTCTGTGATTAATTAATTAACCCCTTCATAAATCCTTACCAATCATGTACGGATAAAGTAATTGATCAATTCTGATAAAACTGCAGTCATGGTTTGTTATAAAACTTTGCGTTCAGTTGATTTTATTCGACTGTAAAGGACGTTGGAGTCAATTTCAAAGGTAACACCATTAGTAACGGGTATGGCCACCGTTTGCGAAGTAAATAGCATTGCAGCGTCGTCGCATGGAACTCGTAAACCGGCGGATAATTCGAGGAGAGATGCTGTTCCATTCAGCGATCAAGGCTTGGGCCAGCTCCTGCAAGTTTGACGCCTGATTTTGACGTTCTCTCACGCGTCGCCCAAGAACGTCCCAGACATGCTCAATCGGTGACAAATCAGGTGATTTAGATGGCCAATCTAACACCTATACGTTATTCTGCTACAAGAAAGTTCTTCTGACGCGACTGGTGTGCGCTGGTGCGTTATCCTGTTGAAAAATGGCGCCAACGCCATGGCGTCTTAAGAATGGCAGAACCACTGGTCTTAAAATGTCGTCCCGATATCGAATGCCGGTTAAATTGCCATTTAACACAACAAGCCTGGTACGAGTCCCACCTAAAATACCACCCCAAACTATTACACTTCCGCCGCCAAAGCGGCCCGTTCTGCGACGCAGCAGTTCGCAAAACGCTCCCCTCGTCGCCTCCACACTCTGCGCCTTCCGTCACCGTGTTGCAGACAAAACCTGGACTCATCTGAAAACAGAACATTGTTCCATTGTCGTAAGGCCCAACGACGGTGAACACGGGTCCAGTTACGCCGATTATTACGGTGACGTTGCAACAAATTGGGTCCAGTGTAGGGACGTCGCGCTTTCAATTGGTAGGCCCTCAACCTGTTGCGGACTGTTTGGGGAGACACACGACGCCCAAACAATGTCATTGTAGTCTCTACTGCGGTTACGAATCGATTGCGCAAGTGTATCAATCGTATACGACGGACATCCCTGGCGGTCGTTTTACAGGGCCGACCACTTCAGGGACGTTCGAATGTTGGCCCAGTTTGGTTTAAACGACTTACCAACTGGCAAATTGTCTTTTTTTGTTGAGTATATATTTTAAAGGTGACTTCACATATCCTCAATATATCTACAACAAGATAGTTTTAGAAATATTAATTTAAAATTATACAGAATGTCATTGTGAATAATTCTGATTAAAACGTTAATTTTATAAATTTAATGTTACTGAATCTATTCAGAAAAAAATGTCGGTGATTCACTCAGATAAAAAATTAACATTCAGTTGCATGGTAGTAGTTAGTGACAAGTCATTGCAAGTTGATGGATATTGTTCGGTATTCTTGTCATTTCCTTGATTCATTAATTTTATCAATATAAATTAATCTAACAATGTCATTTGAAGGACATTTTACGAAAAGGTGAATTTCGTTTTAAATAATAGTAGAAATACGAATATTTCGGTATGCTATCTTTCCGGCAACTGGCAAGATCCAAGTTGTTCCACAGCATCTTCGTTTTGATACATGGACGTTAGAGATTGACGTCGGTATTGCGATACAAACATGGTCCCAGATGAACTCCTGTTTTAATATCTATGACTGAGAGTTCTACGAGATCTTGCTCTCAAGGGCATTTTGACAGTACAGATCAGCGATACAATCAGTTTTGGTCTCTCGATAAAACTACCCTTTTCTCAGTCTCCATTGCATCAGAAGTCATTTGCTCCTACATTTGTTATCAAAATGGTATAAGCATAATGAGAAATTATCATATTGCTAGTTTTCAAGTCGTGAGTCACGGATGTTGATACTCACATTTCAAGTCTCCCAGAAACTACGACGTACATTCACTGTACATACACAACTGCACAGCAAACTTCGGAGTTTACAATGCATTATTGTAATGTAAAAATGAAAGACAAGTTTCAAATTTAAGTTACATACAGACCTGAAATGTAGGAACATCAATGTATATTTTCGTTCTTGCAACAACATATTTACAGTATTGGAAGTCATAGTGAACACGTTACCTATAAACAAAATACAACTGCAATGATGCGGTAACATTTTCGTTATTGCAATAGCATCTGTATATAAATTCTTTCAGTGAGTTATCAGGACTCTAGTTATGTTTATGCTGTCCAACCGCGTTATCGCGAACTCGGCGAGACCATGGGGAACTTCGAGATAATTCGGTATAAGTGAGTTCTATTGTTTCGTGTAAAGTTAGGCAGGAACCAACGAAATGCTTTGAATTAAACAGGGTCTTCGAGTTATACAAGTTCGAGATAACGAGGTTCGACTCTACTTCCTAACAGCGACACCTCATGGCACTGGCTATAAATCTTTTCAGTTATTTTTGCTTTTTTCTCGCAGGTCTACTCTCTGGATCGGTATGCAGCAACTGGACGGCGATGTCCCTCGTTGGCATGATGACTGTACCAGTCAGGCCAACACATACAGCCCGGCATCTGCCGCTCCATCTTCTGCATGTTTTGTGTTCGATAACGAAGCTACTACATTAACGCATGACGCATGCTCCGCTTCTAAGATGTTCATTTGCAAAGCAAAATCTTATGGTAAGTGGAATTGAAGACGTACAAGAGGATGAAGAAATCGACTGAAATAACGTTTATTAAATTGATATATATATATATATATTGTTGTTTCATGTGTACATACAAGGAATTTCGAAATAACGAAGAATATTGCTTTGTTTAAGACATATCATTATCACTTGAATAGTAAGCTCATTTTATTATTACTTAGTGTACATTCTGGTATTACACATCGATGTACATGTGTTAGCTTGAAAGGAAAAAGTAACGGATGAAAACGTTCACAAGTGTACAGACTAATTAAAAAAACTTTGATCAAAAGTAACTAAATGAATCCGGATTTTTTCTTTTATTTTTCAGATTTTTACATCTTATTATAAAACGACAAAAACAATACTTGTATGATCATCATCAACGTTGTCGTCGTCAGAATGAATTATCCTATTAATTATAATTTCAATTAATCATCATCATCATCATCATCATCATCATCATCATCGTCATCATCATCATCATCATCATCATCATCATCATCATCGTCATCCAATCAACCAACCAACCAATTAATCACCTTCACCGTAATCATCCGGAATTCTATTTGTTATTTTTGTATATTCACCATCATATGCAAAAATACATGTGCCTTACCTACTTCAGAGTTAAAAGGTAAACTTCTCTGCTCATCATAAGGATTCTTAATAGTCCGTGTTTGGATCATTGTAGATCTTACAACGTGCTATACAACAGTGAGCGCAATGAAGGATGTCGCATTTACAGATGCTAGTTACGGAGGAATCACTGCACCTACAGACTGTGCTAGGAAATGTTCAGAACGAAATTGTGTAGGATATACACACGATCTAACAAATGATGTTTGTCGACTAGCGACGTTTCAGTTATCAGCGGTTTTTTCTAAAGGCGCTGAACTAAAGTACATGAAGGGTATGTATAACCTAACGTTACAGAGAAAAAACTAAATTAAATTTCAGTTTTGTTAAAGGCTTTTGAAAAGTAGAAATTTAGACTATGTGTCTTTCAGTTCCTCATCGTTTGGTCACAAACTAGTAAATAAATTGTAGTAAATTAGTTAGAGGTTAGAGTGATATGGTGTCAGAAAGGAAGTTTTTTCGGTGGAAAAAAGTGAAATGGTGTCAGGTAGGTAGTTATGTGGTGGAAAAGAGTGAGATGGTGTCAAATAGGTAGTTTTGTGGTGACCAAGAGTGAAATGCTGTCAGGTAGGTAGTTATGTAGTTGGAAAAGTGAAATGGTCTCAGGTAATAGCTATGTGTTGGGAAAAGTTTCAAGATTTCAAGATTTTTATTTCTCTCAGACAACAACAATGTGTGACAAGAGGTCATACATGTTGAAACATTTTTAGTACATGACAGGCAGCCATAGTTATAAACATTTGTTGATTTTCCGAAAACATACATTGTAAGCAGCTCAAACATTTTAATATCTAGGACAATCAATGCTAACAATTAACGCAGTCGCATTATAAAATGTATGACAATCGTTGGATAAACATGCTTACATTCATCAATAACTTTTTGTTAAAGACTGTGAACATCCCTTTCATTTTGTATCGGTTAGGATATTTACAGTAGTATCCCGGGATATACTTCAGTCTTAGCTGTTTTACTTCATCATTATTACACAAAAATAAAAAATGAAACTCATCTCCAATACCATTATTACACATGGGACATACTCGATCAAGATGTTGTATCCCTCTCCATCTACCTAATTCTACCGGTAATTTAATATTTGCTGTTCTGAATTTACAGATAAATTCTGCATCTTTTTATTCAACCGTAATAAATAGTCTTCAATACCAAATTCATTTTTGAAAATACTATATACTTGTCCTCTGGGCGATTTTTCCATTTCGTCAAACCAAGATTGGACAAACTGGTCCTTCAGTCTCTGAGCAACTTCAGATTTTAAAAAATTGATATGTGGTAAACAAGTTTTCTGAAACATCCATACATGACCTAATCCAACACTGTTTAAAATATTTTTGATGCAGTTTATCCATTTGAATTCTATTTGGCCTGTTTCGTTGAGTGAATACATCAATTCATACATGCAACTTGATAATTTATTCTCATTCAGGATTAGTGAGTACCAATATTTAACCATTCTTAATTTAATATCTATAGTAATAGAATATCTTCCGATTTCTCCATAGACCATAAAATTGGTTGTACTTTTCTTCAACCCCAAAATTCTCTTACAAAATTGTAAATGTATCTTTTCAATAAGATAACAGTTCTTATATCCCCATATTTCACTTGAATATAATAAAATCGGGGATACCAATGCATCAAATAATTTCAATTTCAAATCAAGCGGTAAATCAATATTTCTTATTTTTTGGTATACTACAAACAGGGCTTTTCGAGCTTGCTCAGACAAGCGTTTTTTTTTTGCCGCGGCAAAACTACCATTGTAATTAAAAAGAACTCTTAGGTAGGGAACGAGCTTTGTATATCACGTTCGTTATTGTAAAGTAAAAAACTATTTCTAGATTTATTCTTTCTTTTAGCAAAAATGACAATTTTAGTTTTCTCGGTGTTCACTCCTAATTTCCAATTTTGGCAGTACTGTTGGAAATGATTTAACATAGCTTGCAGACCCTCTGGTGTTTTAGATATTAACACCGTATCATCAGCATATAAAATAACAAACAATTTTATAAAAACACCAATATTATCCCAACATAATTCATTTAGTTTCAACAAATAGTCGACATTTTTTTCTGATAAAAAATCCTCCAAATCATTAAGATACAGGGCAAACAAAAATGGTGAACAATTTTCTCCTTGTTTCAATCCGACATTAGAAGCAAACATCTGTGACATATCACTACCATTTCTAACACAAGATTTCGTGTTTGAATATAAATTATATAACACTTTAAGTATTTTACCAGTAATGTTATTTTTAAGCAATTTCCTCCACAATCCTACACGCCATACTGAGTCGAATGCTTTCTTAAAGTCAATAAATGCACAATACAATTTTTTTCCAGACGATAAGTATAATGATATAAGTAGATGTAAGATAAATATGTTATCAGTTGTTGAATGCCCTTTTCTAAAACCTGCCTTGGCATTAATAATGAGGCCGATCTGGTCAGATAATTCGTATAACCTAGTATTTAGTACTGATGTGAAGACTTTTCCAAGACAAGATACTAGCGTTATCGCCCTGTAATTATTTAAGTCATTCTTGTATCCCTTATTTTTATATATTGGGATAATTATTGCGGTGTTCCAGCTTTCTGGTATTATTCCAGTGTCTAATATGATGTTAAAAAGGTTTACATAAGTAGGTAACATGATATCAATAGAACTCTTTATATATTCGTTAATTATGTTATCAATGCCACTTGCCTTGTTATTACTTAATTTTTTTACAGCTGTAGTTACTTCTTCAGAGGTAATTCTACTATTTAGTATATCGTCGTATAAACTTCCCCTCATGTCTGGAATAATAAATTCCTCATCTTTGTCGTTATCACTATTTAACTTTTTAAAATATGCGTATAGCTCATCGATCGACAAATCAATTTTTTGTTGTTTTTTTTTCCTATTATCAACTTTATTTACAATGTTCCAGAGTAGTTTTGGGTCGAACTTGGAAGCATTTCTCATCTCATCTTCAATTCCCTTTTGAATTTTTTTATAATTATTGTTTAACGACTTTCTATATTCTCTACTCTTTTTACGTAACTTTTTTTCGGTTCACATTATTTTTCAAATTCCTGTAAGTTTTCTTTGCTTCGTGAAACTCTTTACGCTTACTAGCACAATCACGGGTAAACCACGGTTTGTCTTTAATATTATTACTGCTAACAATAGTTTTACTCTTGACCTTTTGGGTTCCAAGGACGTCCCTTGAAATTTTCGCAAACAGATTAGCAATATCATTTACCACATCATTTACATCTTGTTTGGAGATTTCAATATCTGAATCTAACATAGCATCAATGATCGTGTTTATCGCTTGTAGCTTCCCTTCGTTATCAGATCTAAGATCCGCTATAAAATCACCCTTTTTATCGTTCACCCATTTTCCAGTTTTCTCTGTAATTACAAGTGGTTTCTCTGTAACATTTTCAGACATATTTATAGAAAATATTATTCTGTTATGTACGTCTGAAATTAAAGGGTCAAAGTCAAGTACATCAAAGTGACTCAAGAAGGAGAAAACATTTGAAGATACAATCAAATAGTCAACGAGACTTACATTTTTACACGTATTCTTTCCGATATATCTGTCATTACCAACTCTGCCATTGGCGATATATAGATTACTATTTTTACAGAATTCTAACAACTTAAGGCCATATGTATTTGGCCTTGCTATATCCTGGCTGGCCCTTTGCAATGGGACCCCTAGGTGAGAAAGTACCTTATAGTCATATAGTTCATTATATAACTCATCAGTATCTATTAAATTCATCAATTCCGCCAGATTATCATCTGGTACAACATAATCATCATAACAATTTGTCCTGGCATTAAAATCACCTACAAGCATAATCTTTGTATCATTCTTCATCAAACTAATCATTTCATCTTGAATTTCTGAAAATGCTTCATCAGAGGCATATCTGGATGCTTCCGGTGGGATATAAATACAGCCTAGCAGTAAGGCGGGAGAATTACGACATACCCGTATCTCTACCCACTGAACAAACTCAGATAACGTTTGGGGAAATATTAGTAATGACTTATACTTGTCTTTATAGATAATAATTATTCCTTCCGACTTATTTTTGACCTTTGACCTGTTCTTGATTACGTAGTCATACCCTGGTGGTAAATCGATAATGTCAAAATCGTCAGTCTTTGTTTCGACTAACACAGTGACGTCATGTGACGTTATGATGTCATTAAATTCAGGTAGAAGAAGTTTGGATCTTAGGCCACTGATGTTTAGTAAACCATTTTATAACATTTTAGGGAAGAGATGGGCGCTGACAACACAAAAATCTAACAGATTACCCTGCCCGAATTTCAATACCGACCTATCGTATCTTGGCCTCCAAAGTAAGAGGCTGTGACGTCACTTTTTCTCCCAGAGTCCCTCGCTTCCTCGGACAGGGTTGTACTAAATTCCGGAAAACGACACGAAGCGACCCACGCGTCGCTACACAATTAACGAACGACGTCTCGCGACCCGCTAGTGGCCGCACCGCGGACGTCACCTCTGTAGTTACAATAATAAAAGTGCCCAATGGGTTCGACTGCCGCTTTCGCTTGCAGATTTCACAAACAAATTTCGACCAAGTACTGGCAATAATGACGAGAAGAATTAAACAGATTCAACAATTTATTATATATTTTACAAGAGTAAAGTTTAGCATGAAAGACATTTAACCGGCTCAGTGAGTGTTTTTAATTAACCTTAACAATGTACAGAAGCCACCTGAAATAAACAAACTTTTACCTAAACTAACTACCAGGCAGGAACCAATGTCGTGGTTGTCGAAATTCTCTAGCTAAATCAACTCTCGGCCCACGGAATCCGACACCGTTCCTCGGAGCGAGTCTCAGACCTCGCCGAACGGACAAATCTCCGCCACGTGACCGACTCCAAATTTACAAGGTCCAACTCAACACTACCGCCTTCTCCTACGTTCGTCTTGGCGAGGGGGGCACACAAAATTAGCCTCACCGAACGAGAGAAAACTACTCCCCGAGAATACCCATTCTCGAATTATCCACTATTTAACAAAATTTCAACAGCTAGCGAACGTTCCCCTCAATCACGAAACGAGGTTCCAGCCAAAACTTAAGTCCGCATAAATCGAAAAATATACCAAAATACACGGTCGGAAATCAAACCTATCGGGTTGTAGGTGGCAACTGATGTTTAGTAAACCATTTTATAACATTTTAGGGAAGAGATGGGCGCTGACAACACAAAAA